TGACCGCAAGGCTACCTTACGTCGTTCCCGGACAGTATGTAGATAATGTGGTCAACAACGACTCGTTTGAACTTTGAAATTGTTTCTCTAAGTTTTGCCCCTGTTAAAGGGGTTTGAGTTTGGACACGACCTACTTTCTCCGGGGTAAGCATGATTGACTTCTCTTACTGTACTATCAGAAACAATGACAAGGGCAATCCATTCTGTGAGCACTTTCAGTAATTGCGAACCAAGTTACACGCGGTATGTGTTTAAGGATAGATTCTCATTAGCATGAACGATGAGCGTGGAATAAATGTGTATTCCTTACAGTAATGTTTGATATTTACACTCATAGATTACGTTTTAGTTTGATCAGCAACACATTGTGAAAGGTTGGTGGAAATTTGCATTTATATTTTGTCATAGATGTCGATTTTATTCATAAAGTAAAAATCTTGGAATATTGTGAATAATGTCAAATCATAACTACCTTCATTAAATTGTTTATTATAAAGTTATTGTAACAAATCTAGCCTTGATATCTATCTCCTACTGACCCCCAGAAACAAAGGGATTCAGCGGCAGCTATTGTCCGTTTGGCTCAAAAGCGGACCGATGAATTGCAATCTAACTCGAAAACTAATAAACATATAACACTCAATGAAACGCTGATTATAATCAAGACATCAGACCAACTCTGAGTTTTGTTTGCAGAATTTATGTCCTAAAATTAAGTTGTTTAACAAACTATCATTAAACTATTGACACACTGCACTATTTGTTACGAGGGAGGAGTGCAGAGAAAGGGACAGCCAGGTGTTAGGGAAGCATATGCAAGTGCCGACAAAGTTATTGATTCATTAACCTGTGCTGTGCCATCTCCATCTTTTCTGGCACACCTGGCTGTCCCTTTCTCTGCACTTCTCCATCGTAACAAATAGTGAACTGTGTCAATATGTTAATGATAGTTTGTTAAACAACTTTTTTATTTTTAGGACATAACTTCTGCAAAAACCTCACAGAGTTGGTCTGACGTTTTGATTATGATCAGTGTTTCATTGAATATTTTATGTTTATTATGTTTATTATTATGTACCTCTAGCAACCTGTGTTTGTCTCCCAACGTAGAGTCCTTTGAATACATACAAGGATTTGACTCGACTGGTCGGTGGCATCGTACCCTGTTGGATTTATAAACAACGTGGTTACAGCATGATATAAATACATCAACTAATACTGCTGGTTATAAATATGTAAAATTTACACTTCTTGTTGCTACGAAATGCATCGTAAACTGGCGCGGTACGGTATTGAGGGGATAAAAGCAGAACTTGTCGGCTCCGCGTCCGTACACTGTGTATGAGCGTGGTATCCATGTGAAACTTCCAAGTGGTAGTGAGTGAGTGAGTTTAGTTGTACGCCCCAATATAGCAACATTCCTGCAATATCACAGCGGGGGACACCAGATATGGGCTGCACACATTGGACCCATGTGGGGAATCGAACCCGGGTCTTCGGTCCCATGCGCGAACGTTTTAACCACTAGGCTACCCCACCGCCCCGCCACATGGTATCCCAATGGGCTAATTCTTGCATAAGTCTACAAGCAGCCACACACACACGTACAATCACATCGCTGTATAATCGTAACGTTGCGACGCTAACCTGATATCATCTGACGCCAGCTTGCGGAGAACATGTAATTCTGTTGCGTTACATGCAAGGTGAGCTACAGTGGATCGCAAAGCAACGCAGATCGATACTGTTGCAGCATCCAGTTCCACCAAAGAGTCAATCATTCATACCAATGTTTCGTGAGTAGGATCACTAAACCTATATTCAGACTAATTAAACTGAAATATTCATCTTCATTGTGAAGACGATGTTTGATAAGAATACTCAGATAGAGCCGATTCCTTTGGGAACAGCGGGACATTCCAAGACTTGCTAGCCAACCTTAACAGCCCAGCTGTGCAATTTCCACAAAGTCAGGAGAAAGACCAAAACAAATTAAAATATCACTGAGAGAGTTCATTTAGTAATTTAAAATGGATCGATTTACCGTCCTCATGTTAGCATTAATAGTTGTACGTTGGGCAAAATACACGTTGCTTTACATTTTGTACCCATCTTTGTACAAGTCCCTTGCAGAATGTGAGTATGGTTTTACATGGCAGTATCGGAGCAATATGCGGTCGGAGCACCAAAATGGACTTCATTCATTTTAAAGTGGGAATCGAACCCTTCGGCGAAGCGTGCGAGCGCTCTAACCTCTAGGTCAGTCTACCGGCACCTTGAGAATTTAGTAAGAGCAGCTCGCATCCAACGACACAATCGAGGAAATATGTAAACGAAATTAATAGATATGTTCAAATTCGGGTACGATTCCCAACCACGTGGGTACACTCAGTGTTCGAAATAGTTTCCAACTTTTGCCAGCCAGTCGGGCTAGCTATGCCTGAAAGATACTATCCCACAAAATAATTCACTAGCCTGAAATTTGAATGTATAACATAAGCAAAAGCTTACAAAAAAAGGTAAAATACCATCATTTATCAGGCCATAATCTTGCATGAAAGTGCATTATGACTTAACAAGTCGGATAGATAGAACTGATCCCATGAAAATTCACTAGCCAGTCAAGCCAGTGACTGTGGAGATTTACTGGCCCGACTGGATTTTTACTAGCCACGGGCTAGAGGGCCAGTGGATATATCGCACACTGGGTACACTGTTTAGGGAGTGTTCATTTCTCCCTACGCCCCATCTTTCTATAGGTGGCGAGGCGGTGGGTAAGGTCGTTCCTCACGCCGAAGACCCTGGTATAATGTGTGTAGCCCACCTCGGTGTTCTCTGACATGGTACCGTAAAACCATACAAATTGACACCTTCAGGTGGGGTAAAACCTCTATTTCTACTGCTCGATTGTTTGTGAATAATGATGAAATGTTATTTCTCCCTTCAAACACTGCATTTTCGTGTCCAGTGGCGGGTGCAACCAGTCGGGCAATATACGCCCCTTTTCGTGAAAATCTGATACCACCGTTTGATCGTGATTCATAAACACATGCATATCATGTATAAACAAATGTGTAGAAAAGGTAGTTCAAATCTTTTAATGGAAAAGCCACTGCGGCATAGACGACAAGTGAAGTCATTTGAAAAAATGCCAACTGTATCGAAACGGCAAATCTTAGGCATTAGGTAACATCGCGAAGGTAATCAAATAGTTGTATGAAATAAAAACCCACTGTAATGTGACGATTAATCATGATTTTTATGCTATAGGAAACCTGATAGAGACAATTAAACTAATGGCATCAGCGAGACGAGGTATAATGACCACATATCATGTCAAACACATAACGAGGAAAATGGCATAATACAAATTGTATATGCAAAATGAAAAGTTATAGTTCATAAATAATAGATGTCATGTCATGTAACTGTGTTGATAAATCAATGAATATTATCAATAACGGATCGCGTGAAGTGAGGATAAATCAAGAACTATTTTCAATAAGAGCACGCGATGCAGTGAGGATAAGTCAAGAGTGAGTGAGTGAGTTTAGTTTTACGCCACACTCAGCAATATTCCACCTATATAGTGGCAGTCTGTAAATAATCGAGTCTGGACCAGACAATCTAGTGGTCAACAGCATGAGCATCGATCTGCACAATTGGGAACCGATGACATGTGTCAACCAAGTCAGCGAGCCTGACCGCCCGATCCCGTTAGTCGCCACTTACGACAAGCATGGGTTACTGAAGATCAATATTCTAACCCGGACCTTCACGGGTAGATAAGTCAAGGGCTATTTTCAATAATGGCACGCAATACAGTGAGGATAAATCCAGAACTATTTTAGTAGGGGAAGGCGATACAGTGAGGATAAATCCAGAACTATTTTTAGTAGGGGAAGGCGATACAGTGAGGATAAATCCAGAACTATTTTTAGTAGGGGAAGGCGATACAGTGAGGATAAATCCAGAACTATTTTTAGTAGGGGAAGGCGATACAGTGAGGATAAATCCAGAACTATTTTTAGTAGGGGAAGGCGATACAGTGAGGATAAATCCAGAACTATTTTTAGTAGGGGAAGGCGATACAGTGAGGATAAATCCAGAACTATTTTTAGTAGGGGAAGGCGATACAGTGAGGATAAATCCAGAACTATTTTAGTAGGGGAAGGCGATACAGTGAGGATAAATCGAAAAACAATTCCAGTGGGGGAAGGCGATACAGTGAGGATAGATCATCTAATATTTAGTATGGGAACGCGATTGAATAAGAATAAATGAAGAAATATTTTCAATGTGGGAACGCGATTCGAAGAGGATATATCAAGCCATATTATCAATAAAGGAATAAGGTTTACTCTGACTGTATCAACATAAAACAAAATGATACAAATGACATCAGATAAAAAGTCTTCAAGAAAATCACACTTTTCGGCACATGACGGAAAAGACGACATTAATGTATTGTGATATGATAGGGTTTTTCTTTAATCGTGAGAACAATCCGTTCTCTAAACTGGTTTTGTGTGTATTGGAACGATCGCCCAATCGTTCTCTGTCTACATGCATCAATCGTACGGTTATATCACAGGTACAGGAAGGTATATCTTCCAAGAAAACTGCATGTCGTAACAGGCGACTAAACGTATCTTTGAACAGTTCGGCGAATAATCTGAACCTGTGGATAGTCGAATTGAGATATTACAATTCCAACAATGATGCCGGCCACACCTGAGATTCATGGGGCGTTACCGCCACTTTTTACACTCAACTCTGAAGTGAGACGTTGCCTCTTACAACAAACATTATAATTTGTATGCTTCTCTCGAGGGTAATAAGGTCTGATGTATGCCTCTTTGTAACAGTGTCACCCGAGCCGGTAGGCGATGGATAACACTGCTACAAAAAGGCGTACATCTGACCGTATTACCTGGAGGAGAAGTTTACGACGTATTTATCTTACCGCCATGTTAAATGTACGAAATATCATTAATTTATATTTTATTTTGAAGATCGATAAGCTCGCAACCGACTATATAACATGTAAACAAAATGGCGTCTGCCTCTCGACTGGATTTTTTACATCAGTGAAACATAATCTAACAAGCTTGAAACTGCTATAAAATGGTTAATAATGTTTAAGTGGAGTGTGCAAACGATGCAATGTATAAAACAGTATAAATAAAGCAGTGAAAGCCAGTAAAATAAATCTGTACATATTGAACTCAAAACAGCTAATTGAACGGTTTTCGAACTCATTGCACTGCATGCGTCATATATCATGACTTCATACGATTGTCAGCGATACAGCTTTTCGGCGTAGATTGTGGCGGTTACTTTGGCAGCGGGTAATATTTTTTCCAGTTGTCATCCTCCATGGAGGGGTGACACGGAAACTTGTTAAAGCGTCATTGACCAATGATATTAAAGTATTTTACATGAAGGTAAGATAAGGAGCAGTGACAGTTCCTTAGGAACATGGTGTTCTCTTTTGTATTGTTTTCCAGATTCTGTGAGCGAGCGGCGGATCTACCATTTGTCCACCTAGTTTCTTGCTGAGAACAAAATCACACACCTGTGGTGCTGCGTACGGGTCATAGTCCTCCCTGCTGAAGGCAACATGACCCGCCCCGATGGCCTTGGCAAGTATTCCTGTCACATGGACATCCTCCATGTTAGTAAGCACCATATACTCGGAAATGTTCAAAATGTTTACAGCTATTCGTTTGGGCATAACATACATTGGCCCTGACGCATACTCCGGTAACATGAGATACGGGTAATTAACAATAGAATATTTACCAAAGAATTTTTTTGTTGCTGATCTAACCACAGAACCGGCTATACCTTTGCTCCAGTCTCCATAATTTAGCTTTGCAAACACTCTTGGAAGATGCACAAATACATCATCGTCAACCTTCATGACGTATTCAGTTTGTGGGCAATACTCTCGAAGCCATTTGAATCCCACTAAAGTTTTATATGTTAAATTTTGATAGGATTCGATATATCCAGCTTGAACGATATCATTCTGTTCTTCAGCCTCTTCCTTCAGCCTTGCTTCCTGTGTTGGATTATTGGTTTCGCCGAATAAAAATATAAGCCGTACTCTGCCCTGCATCGAGACTCCAGGCCACGACCCTCTTCTCGCCACCCGTCCCCATGTATGTCTCACAGCGTCCCTTCGCTCCCTGTTCCCAACTACTGAGAATATCATGACAACGAGATCAACGTCTTCCCATCCATGACAGTGATATTGCGGTAGTATCCGGAAGTTAAAGTCAATTGGCGTTATTTTGTGATCATATGGCTTGAAGAAGTCCTGTTCCGGAAACACACGTATGTTACTGATAACGTACGTGAAACCAAGAGCTGCCCCGAACCAGAGTGATACTGTTTTCACGCGTCTCACCATCACCTGGAAAGGAACAGTCTCATTGGTTAGCTAAGCATGTCAAGGTTTACTGTGGGAATGAGTTCATGTGGGAATGAGTTTGAATTTAAACCGATTTAGCAATATTCCAGCAATATTGCGGTGGGACACACAACGATGGGGCATCACACATGTGAGAATTCTAATCAGGGTCTCCGGGGTTACGAGCGACTGCCTTGACCAGTAGACTTCTTCATCGTCCTCCTTACATTGTTAGACTAGGGACCTGAAAATGGTTGAAACACTTCTGCATATCTACAGAACTTTAATCGGGTCAAAACTGGATTATGGCTGCTTCATTTACGGTTCAGCTCGTAAATCATATCTTCGAGAAGTTGACACCATTCACCATCAGGGTCTTTGGTTGTGTGTTAAACCATTTTGAACCTTAATAATTGGCAGTCTGTATGTCTAGACAAAGGTATCCTGTCTTAGTTTAGTACGAATCCAACTGGCATTACAATATATCACCAAACGTAGCTCCAGTACTGTCAGTTCTGCCAGAAGTCATGGCGATAACACAGCCTCGCTTTTATATTGTAATGTATTTTATTACTCATCCGTTGAAGATTCTTTTTTATGTGAGTGGTGATAATGCTTATAAATACTTATCTCCGGTGAAAACTAATTTAACTTTCATATCTTAACAAAAGATATGGTGTGGCTGATTATTAATATAATCAAAGCATAACAATTGATCATCTCGTCAAATCATGTGTACGCGATAGATAATTTAAAGTTCGAGCGGGCTCCACGTTATCTGAAATATAAATTTATGATCAGGACAATGGGAGTCCCGCAGGGCAGTGTTTTAGAAGTGCCACTTTTAAGCATAAAAGTCCACAACCTTGCTAAAGTATTAAATCAAAATATCGATGGTTCATTATTTGTGGATGATTTCGATGTATCATGTGGTGGGGCAAATATGAATACCACTGAGAGACAATCGCAACTACGTCATAATAAAATACACAAATGGTTTCTAGAAAACGGGTTTGTTTTCCAAAACCTGCTGTATTCATTTTTGCAACAAAAGGAAACTACATAATGACCCAGAATTGACTTAGATGTTTGAAAGCACTGGATATCTTGAAGGTGGTATCAAATGCTAAATGGGGCGGAGAAAAAGAAACACTTCTGCATATCTACAGAACTTTAATCAGGTCAAAACTCAATTATGGTTGCTTCGTTTACTGTTCAGCTCGTAAATCATATCTTTGAGAACTTGACACCATTCATCATCAGGGACTTTGGTTGTGTCTTGGAGCATTTAAACCTTAATAATTGACAGTCTGTATTCCGAGACAAATGAATCCTGTTTTAGTTTAGGACGAATACAACTGGCATTGCACATAATCGCCAAACTTCGCTCCAATGCTTCTGATCAAGCATTTTATCAGTGTGTTCTATCCGCCATGTCGGCGTGTTTATAACGTGGTTTGGTAGAGTGTCAGTCTATCTGAAGTCATGGCGATACATGTTGCTTTACATGCTTTACATGCTTTACATTACATTGGAAAGTCATCCAAAAGCAGGTTCATCATATTTTCTGATAGTTTGTCATGCTTACAGGCAATCGAAAATCGAAAACTAGATCATCCATTTTTAGCTGACATTCTAAAGAGCCACCTCAGTTTACCCTTAGCCGAAAGAGATATTATGTCTTGTTAGCTGTCTAGTCATGTTTGTATCAGCAGCAAAAGCTTTAAATATGTAAACTTCCGACACAAACTTACCGTATTCTGATCCCCGACCCTCAATTTGACATTATGTGATCGATCAGTGGCAAAAAAGCTGAGACACCAAAGTTTCAAATAAGCTCCATGCCACAAAGCCGTTGATTGATCGTCACACGTATTCTAATCTTTCTCGCAATGAGGAAGTTGTGTTGCAGCGGTGCCGCATTGGACATTGTTATAATACACATTTGTGTAAGATGAAAATGCACCCTTTTGCATGCCTTGCAATAGCCTAATAACAATTTTGCTTGAATGTGTTTATTTTGCTCTTGTCAAGCAGTGTTTTTATGATAATGTTCATACCTTATCAGGGGCGGTGGGGTAGCCTAGTGGTTAGAGCGTTCGTTCGACAATGCGTGAAGCCCATTTTTGGTGTTCCCCCTGGAATATTGCTAAAAGCGGCGTAAAACCAAACTCACTCACTCATACCTTATCTGAACTTTTTTCAACAGTTTCTAACCACGTTATTTTGGCATATTTGAAAGAAGTCATAATATATGTAAAATTTAGAATTTATCTAAATAGTCAGGTTTACCCTTGAATGTGACATTTGACTGACATTTCAGGGATTTTTAACATCACTTTATCTAACAGCACATCTCTCGCTGCAAACAGCTGCAGAATTGCTGATGCGGCTTTGAGCAATATTCACTCACGGTTGTAGATAAAGCTCAGTATTTATAATAGGTGAAAATCATATGCTTCCCTTGCCTCGTATCGAACAATGATCAAGACACTGGTCCGAGTATGGTCCGAATCAACGACCTTAGAATGTGAATTTCCCTTACCTGTCGTGTTCCTACGGCTACCTTGATCCGTCTTACAAATATGTTAAACATCCAGTATGTTGGAGGAGAGCGTTACCCTACTGTCTGCGGTAAACCTGTAGGAATCAGTTGTCTCTCAAGTATGGCTGATCAATATAAGTAATTATACACCTCCGTCTGTCCATGCACGCAACTCAGTCGTATGTACGTGTGATTTCAGTTTTCCACATTTCACACAGTGTCAGATATTTTACATTTTGTCCGGTATCGCGCATTTCACATTGTGTCCGGCAATGTCTGTTTCACATTGTGTTCGGCAATGTCTGTTTCACATTGTGTCCCTTATCGCGTATTTCACACAATTTAACGATTCTATAAACTTCTATAACACATTACCACGGTACAACATACCGTCTTTTCATTGTTTGTTTTGATTGTTTGTTCATTTGGTGTTTAACGCCACACTAAGCCATATTCAAGCTGTATCGCGTCAGTATGTAAATAATCGAGTCTGGACCACACTATCCAGTGATCAATAGCATGGTCATTGATATACGCAATTGGGATACGATGACATGTGTCAACCAAGTCAGCGAGCCTGACCACCCGATCCCGTTAGTCGCCTTTTACGACAAGCATGGGTTACTAAAGATCAATTCTAACTCCTATCTTCACGGGTACAGCATATCTAACACTGTATCCGTGTGTATGTTTAAAAAAATATATTTTGCTGCCGTCGCGTAATGGCAGAGACGTAGCTAGACGTATTTTAGATAACATCATAGCAATATATATATTTCATTAAGTACTTCAAATTATGATACGATTATGTATGGTGTATGCGTCCTGTGACCTGTGACTAGTGTGTCACAGGTCACAGGACGCTTACACCATACATCCCTGAACATCCCGGTCAGATTGTGTCTCAGGCGACCCAAGATTGTTGTAAGAGGCGACTAACGGGATCGCTGACTTGGTTGAAGCATGGCATTGTATCCCAATTGCACTGATCGATGCTCGTGATTTTGATCACACGATTGTCTGGTCCAGACTCGATTATTTACGAATATTGCAGACTGAAACACCCGAAATGAGAACGGTGAAGTCATCCTTGTAGACTTTGGTTGATGTATTTCAACATATCCCAGTCGGGCGCTGTTTGCTATTTGACTGACTGATACATTGCTGGAACATTGCTGATTGTGGCGTTAAACAACAAACAACCAAACACATGTGTATAACATCTGGTGTTCTGTAAACCATGTGTTAGTTGCTTCTGTTCTTCCCTCTGTAACTGGTCCGCCTCCGTGGTGTAGTGGTTAGAGCGTCCGCCCGGAGAGCGGAAGGTCGCGGGTTCGATCCCCGACTGCGTCATACCAAAAGACGTTAAAATATGGTTCTTGTTGGTCCCTGTCTGGCGCTCGGCATTAATGGGTACAACAAGGACTGGTCGGCGTGGAGTCAGTATAATGTGTCTGAGTGGGGTATTCCTGCTTCACTGCGGCATGGTATCTCAGTGGGCTAGCACTATAAAACCAGCTTCAATCTGGGCTAGTACAAGCAGCCGCACATACACATACACACGCATGCACGTCGTCATATGAGCGAAATATTCTCAAGCACGACGTTAAACCTAATTTCACGTCACCTCCCCCCTCTGTAACTTCTCAGTTATCTAGGTTTACCTTCCAATCAGATGGAGCACGGTTTGCTCTTTGTACGTACCTTGCTTGTCAGGACGAGAATTGGGAGGGATGTTTCGGTGTATTTTATGTGCGATTCTTTCACTCCTCGTAAGGCGTACAGATTATAGAAATGTATTGTTTTGAAGAATATTTTGAATTGCGGCATTTTATTTCATTTACGCAATGTGATTTCTATATTTTTGTGCCTCATTAAAACCATGCCTTGCTGTCTCCTCCAACCTGCAGATTTGACTACATAAAGCTCTGGTAAAAAGTCAGTTAAAGCTAAACAATGTTGGTCAAGGAAAGGTCTTGGATGGGTGACCGTGTTTGGCAGCTTGACACCTGAGAGTTTTTATGACTTTTATCCTGACCCACAACGAAGCATACGTGTTTGCCTCTGTTCACCAAACGGTGAATGGGTACCCGGTGGGATAAGTCATATGATGTTAACATTCTTGGGCTCACAAGCAGCTTGGGTTATCCGGGGTAATCAGCACCGTAGTTAACTTTTCTTGATACAGTACAGCTCATACAATTAACAGTCATATAGACGGCGCGAGGAAACCAATATATCTGACGTATCAGAGAACCAGAAAAACGTACAAAAAGCAAGTATGCCCTCATGTTCGAAGGTGGCTTGAAATGAACGAAAAAAGTTATACATCCGATAGTGATTTTTATTCGTTCGATTATGTTTTGGGCGTTACGTATCCAGTGTTTGGTTGACATTTAACGTTTATTTGGGTTTGATAACGTTTGTAATTGAGGGTAAACTGTATACTTTCTCGAGCCGCCGCAGTGTATATTTACTATGGATGTTTATTTCCCTCATCGTTTATATTTTCATTCCAGTTTTACACCCTATGGTCTAAATGAAAATATATCAGTATAATACAGTTCGGCAGGATTTTATGTAACACATCAAGCCCTTCATACATATTTTTATGCATATTTTCATTATGATGATAAGGAGATGAAGCGGTTCAGGGCCATGCATATTGTATGCACCGTCTTGAATGAGGATGGAGTGAGTTTTTAGCAATGATTCAGCAATAAAGCGGCGAGGGACACCAGAAATGTACACGTTGTACTTCAGTGGGGAATGGAACCGTAACGAGCAAACGCCTTTAACTAATAGGATACCCATCGCCAAGGGGCCAAAACTGTTACAGAGTGCGCTAGGTAGTATGATCTCTGGTGGTATGGCACACACACGCACGCACGCACGCACGCACGCACGCACGCACGCACGCACGCACCAGTGGCTCCTCAAAGTTACAGTTACATCCTTCGTAACGTATCTGTTTTGCCCGTTTGTACATTCAATTAAATTGGACTGCTTTGGGTATTATTAAATTTTTAAATTCCTTCTGTGTCACTATGAATTTATCGTTTTGAATGTCCTCAAAGTGCTGGCTGCCCAGTGGTTAACGCATACGCTCCGAGCTCCCACGTGGGCACGATGCTGGAATATTGAAGTTACGTAAAATCCTGCTTTCCTTCATGCGTATATTGCAGATCGCTGATAGTAAATTCATGTATAAGGACACACTGCTATTGAACAGTTTTCAGGAACTGACTAGTCCTCCAGAGGGGATGATTTAATTCCTGTATTATCGCTGCAACTATGCTTATGAAAAAACAATCTTTTGTACTTTTTCCAATTCTCATTGAATCCCCAGTGATTCACACCATTGATCGACATGTAGAGTTCTGTCCCTTAGGTAGCACAGTCTGCCAGTTCGTATTTCACGCTCATGACGAAGCATCTCACCCTTGTTTGTTTGGGTACCTAAGGAGTCAACATGGTCTTCCCTCAACAGGGATACTTAACCGACATGATGCACTAACTGAAAAGGTGTTCGCTCTTTGGGGATATCGTGTTGCACTCCATTCCCAGCAAGATGGGCTTGTCGTACGAGGCAGTTTAATGGTTCGGGTGTCAGGCTAATTCACATTAGAGAAACACACCGAGCAGGAAAATACTTACTTACATGCGTGTGTTGTTAGGTAAAGTTGCATGAGTTTACGCCGGATGCCAATATTTACTTATAAAACAGGATACTGGGCACCTGGGTTGAATTAGTAAACTTGAATAGCATAAAAAGTTGTGAAACATGGATAATGAAACCGTTATGTAACCCTTGACTCCCCCTTTGACCTCATCGCACCTGTCGTGATTATTGAAGAACGGAAACATAAGCAGGAAGTTAGACGTGCACTTTCACATGTGCACTACACATAGGCCCATTGCTTTAAAGGTGTGCTAGATGCTGCTAGACGCTTCATACAATATTCTTGTTATGTGTTTAGCTGCTTTTCCAATCGCATTTTGGTGAAATTGCCACATTAGGTTTTACCGATAATTTTACTGTAACACTTAGAAAGGAAACGATCACACACATACACACAGACGCACACGCATACATACACGCTGATGTCGATGGCCGACTGTTGAAGATTTTGTTTTGCTTATTTGTTGGTTGACGCCGCACTCAGCAATATTCCAATTATATAACGGAGGTCTGTAGATTTCGAGTCTGGAACAGTGAGCGAGTGAGTATAGTTTTAAGCCGCTTTTAGCAATATTCCAGCAATATCACGGCGGGGGACACCAGAAATGGGCTTCACACATTGTGCCCATGTGGGGAATCAAACCCCGGCCTTAGACGTAACGAGCGAACGCTTTAACCACAAGGCTACCCCATCGCCCCGAGTCTTGGACAGACAATCCAGTGATCAACATCATGAGCATCGATCTACGCAACTTGGATACGACATGTGTCAAACAAGACAGTGAACCTGACCCCGATCCTATTAGTCGCCTCTTATGACAATCATGAGTTGCTGAAGACCAAATCTAACCCGGATCTTCACGGGTAAATTGTTGAAGAAGATTGGATACAAGGGAACGTGGTTATTTAATAGACTAAATGAGTTGATAAATAGATTAACAACGTTGATTTGTCAGTATACAGATGTGATTCTCTACAGCAACAATAAGGAAGTTGTAAAACAGGTACAAAGGTGTCAATTCGTTCCTTAAGCCGTACAATGTTGTCATGTTTTGATATTTCACCAACACTATAAGTATTTGAATAATGATGTATTAAACGCTCCGTTCCGCGTGCAGTTGTATACCGTACAGAACAGTTTATACGCGAATCACATTACCGTAATCAGTAGAAAATGGTATTGTCTACTCTTCATATTACCAAAAAATATACATTCAAATCCGTGTGGTTTGCAATTACAGTCTTCGTTCCGTATTTGTTTAGCTCCGTAATTTAAGAAATACGCGTAGCCTATGACAACAGCGCCGTCCTAGTACATTATTACATATTCATTTAACTAAGTTACTGTCTTGTTTTGTAAAGCACAAAAAATGTAGC